ATCCAGTGGAAGAATTACCTATTCTAGGCTAATGTGTTTTACAGTACTATAATTATCGGGTTTAAACTGCCTAAAACCATTGGAAGTTACATATAAAGATACCTCTGTGTTAGGCATTCATCTTTCTGATAAGAAAACTTTAACTCAGGTTGAATCAACCCCATCTTCCAAGGGAAATTTGTCTCATACTTACCTGCTATGTAAAATCATATGTTGTATTTGCTTGATTCTTTCATGGTTTTTGTTATTGCCTTTACTGGGAGTTTCATATGTCAGATGACCTCAGGATTGGATGTGTAGGGTGGCCAACACATGGTGTTTATACTTTGCAGCAGGTAGTGGCCGTAGTTGGTATATGGGGGAGGTAATATGGTGGTCAAGGACCTAGTCATACAGGAAAGGTCGTTGGGTACACAACATTGAGTGGCTATAAATACAGTCCATGGACAGATCAAGACTTCTTTGTAGTTATTTAAGAACAAAATCATGCTGATGCTCAGCACAATAATGTTCTTCATCTCAGGGCCTGGAATTGAATTTTCAACTTAATTCCTTGGGAATGAAGCCTGGATAAAGCTTTCCCTTTTATCTTAGCTGAAAGGTGAACAGTTTATTCTTTGGTCACAAAGTTGGAAAAATAATTAAATAAATTATCCATAACAGCATTGATATTGCTAAAAAGATAGCTCGGATCCTTGGAACAGAAATCCAAGGTATTGTTTTATATTCCCTGCAAGAATTAAGTTCCTCCACCAATGACTTTTTTGCACTAGGAGTGGAAACAATAATGGGATAATAGTAAAGCAAAGTTTAACAAATATGATCTGCTGCTAGTAATGGAACATCTTTTATATTTGTTAAATGTTGTTTTACCATTCATCATTGCCATGGATAGTGCAAAAAAGTCATTGGTGGGGAAACTTAACTCTTGCAGGGAAGTGAAGAGTTTGAAAGCAGGTAAATGCAGCATGCAAAGTACTGATACAAAAAATGTGCATCCTAAATTTAGCAAGGAAACATTAGCCTGTTGCCACACAAACTGAGATGGGAAACACATAATTGTTCCCTACAAGTATTCTCCATTGGTTTGTACACTTCCATTTTAAATGACTGTTGTAATGGGGAACCTTAGAAGATTATTGCACAGTCAGATGGCTCCCATCCCATGGTTCGTCTGCACTTATATATGTCAGAAGAGAGGCATAGAGGGAAAGTTTAGGGTGCCACTACCATGCCCAATCCTGGCTCCCCTATAACATGTAGTTGACATGCCATAGGCTCTTTACATGTTGACATATGAGGAGTGTTTGGGTCAGAACTCACAGGAATGAAAAACATGTTAATTTGTGCCATTTGAGAGAGTAACCCAAAGAGCTAGAATCTTAGGCCTGGTCTACACTAACCCCCCAAGTCGAAGTAAGGTACGCAACTTCAGCTACGTGAATAACGTAGCTGAAGTCGACATACCTTACTTCGAACTTACCGCGGTTCAGACGCGGTCCACACGGGGCAGGCAGGCTCCCCGTCGACTCCGCGGTACTCCTCTCGTTGAGATGGAGTACCGCAGTCGACGGCGAGCACTTCCTGGTTTGATTTATAGCGTCCAGACCAGACGCGATAAATCGAACCCGGAAGTTCGATCCCCAGCCGCCGAACTAGCGGCTAAGTATAGACCAGCCCTTAGTGTTTTGGCTTCAAATAATTGATCGTGGTTATCACATGCCAATGTCCTACCCACCCCGTCAGTCACTGTGTAAATTCTTTTTGCAGACATCGATTCCACTAGCTCCTTAATCACTTCTACTTTACTCTGAGTTCCGTCCAATTGGTTGATCTTTCTCTTGTACTGCAATACAATATTCTCAGTGCAATCTCACAACCAGCATTGGTGGGGGACTCTCATCTTGTTGGTCTGTGATGTGATGCCTCTGTACTTGCAGACCGAAACTCCATTAATTTGATTTTCCATTCTCATCTAATTAGCAGTCCATTGTCATCCTCACACTCTTCCAGCAGTCCTGCTTTCCAAGCACAAACATCTGCCTCCCCTGGTGTGTTTGATTAGTTTCCTCCAGATTTTAATAGCTATATTTTTCCCAATTGAGTCTCAGTTTGTTATTTTCTGCTCATGTTTCTAGTCACTCTGTGTTCCTTTATTATTTATCTTTTGTCTCTGTTGTTCACGGATTGGCCTATACTAGAAGGGCTGATACAAGATTGATTATACCTAGGGCTTGAAAAGAGCCCCAACTGATAGTACCTGGCCTCCACCCCAAAGGTTTTTTGCACTAGACAGTCTTTATTTTGTAACTGAAAAAAAACTCGGTCTGAGAATTGCCTGAAGGCACTGAGGGCCTAATTCTGTTGCTAAGGAATTTTGCCCTGGCTTGGAAGGGCAGAGGGCTGGCAATTCCATATCACTTTTAGCCTTCAGACCAAGAGTAGATTAACAATGGGAGATTGACTGATTTACTCTATGTCATTTATGTCACTCAGATGTGAATTAGCCACCCTGCTGAGTGACATAATTTATGCTGATTTAAGCACTAGTGTGGACAGTCCTATGTTGATGGGAGAGTTTCTCCCACCAATGTAGCTGCTGACACTCGCAGGAGCTGGAGTAATTAAGCCAATGAGAGAGTTCTCTCCTGTCCGCTTAGAGCGGCTACACCAGAGTGCTTACAGGGGCGCAGTGTATCGGTGCACCTGTGCCCCTGTAAGCTCTCTAGTGTAGCCATAGCCGATGGGACTGATGTAACTCCCACTGAAATTAATGAAAAGACTTTCATTGTCTTCAGAGGGAGTGGGGATCACTAGGTTAAGGGAAATGATTATCTTAATCATAGGAAGAAAATGAGGTGGCTGCTGCTATGAAAAGGATCCAGCCTTTTGCAACATTATGTGACTTTAAGAAATAAAAATCCAGCTGTCTGAATTTTCAAGTTTTCTAGTTTTTAAGTCTTGTTAATCAATTTTTAATGCAAAAATAAAAAGGGTAGAAAAATGCCACCCATCCCTCCACAGAATAATTGATTTTTATGAGACCTTAACTAAATATCTACAAACAAATGCTCTGCTTCATTCTGACAGGCCTGAGAGGGTAACATGAACGGGGCAATGGAAACCAAAGGAAAACAGGCTGCATTTGTAAAATTCTCTGGAAAATGTTATTGGCAACCCATGCTTTATTTTGGAGCCACCATATAACTGGGATCACAGGCATATTTGTGAGGAGTGCAAATAAGTAAACATTTGAAATATTTGGCAAGTTTGCATCCAGAAATAATGCTTCATTACAGCGTACAATAAGAGAAACCAAAGTATTTCTGTGGTAATTTACAATGCTCCTTAAATCTGTTTAACTCGGCCATTTTTTAAAAATCTGTTTGCATTTTGTAAGGCAGTTTACAAGTACATAGGTGTGTATGTACAAAACACACACGTAGAATTTAGGTGTAATATAAAATACAGGTAAGAATACAGGCTCCCCAAATTTTGGTGCACTGTGGTTAAGAATGTATTGTACTATTACAGAAATGTTCTCAGGTATTATTGCAGCCATGTTGTACACAGGTATCTGGTGAAATATACTAGCTCCACAGGTAGTTTCTGTAGTGTTTTAACATATGTAGGTTAATGGATATTTAGTTCAGAATTGTTATACTCAGGCAAATATGCAGGTATTGGTTATCCAGAATGTAAATGAGAGGTACATTTGTGTAGGGATGTTATAGTGTAATTTTAGCTCAAGGTCCTCTTGTTTTGCTTTTGTTCCTTGTGCATTGCAAGTGACTATAAGGCACAACACTTCCCACCTAGAATTGAGACTGTCCAATCCGAACTATGGTCTGTTCTGTGTTTTATATTTCTGGTCTATTGTTGAGCCACATTGTAGCAACAAGCTTTCCTATTCAGAGCCATAAGGTTGTGATGTGTTCACCTGATGCTGCTATTAATATTCTTAGTTGTCTTGTGGCTCTGAATGTGTTTTTAGCAGCAGGAAGTCTCCTAGGCTGGATTTTTTTTTTTTAATTCAGACGTATGTCAAAGATTTTCTGTAGCTTTTTTCTGTGTATGAGCAAAATGTTTGAAATCTGTCCCAGAAAATGTGTGTGCAGTGAACTACTAAATCACATTAAAGTAATCTTTAATAGTCTTTAATTAATCTTTAATATTTAAACATTTTTTCAAGGAATGGGATAGAGTGATGGATTTGTTATCAGCGAGATTTAACATGCTTCTTGTTAACTGACATCTCTCAGGGGACATTTAAGTTTTTCCTTTCACCACGCGCCTACATAGGAGGTTATTCTAGAACTTTAGAAAGGACAACCTGTTAGAACTTGACAATGCTTATATCAGGAGTTCTCAAACTTTTTCATAATGGGATGATTTTTCATTCAGTAGAAAATCCAGCTTTCCACTGGAGAAAAGTTTCAAACAGAAATAATTTGATTAGCCCTACTCATCATGTAAGTAGAGTGCATGTCTCATGGATATCTTCCCTCCTGCTGGCAATCACACAGAGCACCTGCTTTCCCATTCCGAGGCGCATTACACCCCTGTGGCAAACTACAGCAACTGTCTGCCTCAAGAATAGTGTGGGCAAAGCTGTCTTTAATGTGATTCAGCAGCTCCAAGCAAGTAGGAGAGCCAGAACCGTCGCCCCAATCTTACACTCACTCACACATGTGCTCAACTTTACTCATAGGAATAAGCATTTTCAGGATAAAGGCCCATGTAACCAGCCTGCACTCCTCCACGTACCAGCAGTCGCTGTGTGAACCATGGTGATTCATAGACAGTTTGAAATCCACCATCCTGCACTCTTTTCAGAATGGCTTGTGAGGAGCTGAAGATCAGATTCCTTTTGAGGGCTTTGTGAAGGTGAGAAAGGGAATAGAGGGGCAAGTTTAGTGGGGATATGATAGCAAGTGAGACGTCTGCTGGTAGTACTGAGCTTTATTAAATCCTTTGTCTCCTTTTTCTGTTTTCACCAGGTAGTTGCATTTTGTGATGTTGATGAAAATAAAATAGCGAAAGGTTTCTACACTTACCAAGAATCCAAGGTTAGTAACAATTAGTGTCACTTCCATTACTGTCATCTGGAATTGTCTTGTGAGAAGTGACATTCTAAGCTCATTAGACAAACAACAACAAAAAGAGTGTCACTAATTTTAAATATAGTGAAGAATTATAGTATGCAGTCCATACTATATTTATTTAATTAGGGGTCTAGATAGCTGGATATGGGTAATGGAATGTGTGGAATTTTTCTTCCTATACAGTAGGGAGCCAGAGTGACATTTAGCACCAATTGTGATTGTGTTTTTTTGTAATATGAGAACCAAATGAGAGCAGCAACTCATTTCACATAGTGCATAGAACAGATGGTGGTAAGTTTTGGTCAGTTCCAACCCATGCTAGAATGAAACCATTGGCCTCTCTTATGTTAGCAATCCTGCACCCTCCAGTCTCCTCACCAATAGATATTGCTACATGTGGGGAATAAGCAGGCAGGAACAGAGACTCTTCAGGAACAAGGATCCTGTTTTCATGTAGATATCTCTAGAAATGCAGAATAAGAAAGGGAATTACGTGGGTTGGGTTGGGGGTGGGGGGGAGAGATTTATGGAAGCAGAATTATTTCCCTGAAGACTGTTTTCCATGAAGATTCAGCTGCTCTTTAGTAGGAGAGGGGAAATGGAATGATGTGGGGTTTCATGACTTAGCATCTCCTGCGTCAATAAATTATACCAATAAAAGGCATGATCACAGCAAGTCTGTGTGGGAGAGAGGTCAGTTTCTAGATCTAAGGTAAGGGAAGTTCTTTGTACTGTAGTTGAGAGGGAGCCAGGAGCACACTGCAGTCACTGAAAATGTGGTCAGTTTAGAGGGGAAGAAAAACAAATGTCTTTTTAATGTATTCTGTGTATGGGGCCAAACTCCTGTTGAAGTGAGTTTTGCTACCGACTTTAGTGGGAGCAGGATTTGGCCCATGATGCATAAAAGCTAAAATCTATGGTGAAAGAAAGGAAGGAAGAAAGAAAGAGAGAAAAGTTTAGTGGTTATTTATAGAGCTATATTCAACATAGCACAGTGTTTCTCTTTGAAGAAGAGTCCAAAGGATAGATTGTAACATGCTCCCTAGGTGACATGTCTCTCACTAGCCCAGCTGGGAATCACCTGGACAAATGTAGGCAGTAGGTTTTTGTGTTACTCAAGATAAAGGAAGAAGATATTTAAATGGCAGTAAATGAACCATCTAAAAAGAAAGTGTCACAGTCCTGGAGCAATATTGATTTTTATGGTAATAAAACAATTTAGCGCCACTCATGAGAATCTACTATAAGCATAAGGCCAGATTCAGTGCTCTTGATTTCACTGGGCAGTCAGACCCTTGGAGCTCAGGAGTCTGAGAAGCTGATGTATGCCATCAGCTCCTGCTGAAGGCAATGGGAATTGAGGGTGTTTAGTAACTTTGTAGTATCCAGGGTCTTCATTCTTGATGATACAGTTGAAATATTTGTGTAATAAGCTCTGGCCTGAAATCATGTGTGCATCTATCTAAGGCATGTACACATCTCAAATCAGTGGTTATATAAAAAAGTGCACTGGAAACAACATTCTGTAGATTGGAGTTAAGAAAACTGATTGTATGAAAGAGTAATGGTCAGATGAAATTAGTTATTGGGTGTTACAGAAAGTAGTTGTTTATGGTGACCCAGAAACTACATTGTATTTGAAGTGAAAGGCAAAATAATGAGCCATTCTAATACATGATCTTTGAATACAATTTCACTCTTTAATGCCAAACAACCCCCATTATTGAGCTAAAAATAACCCTTTATGTCTTCTAATGAAATTTCACTGTTTGCAGGAGAGACCAAAACCCCAAATTCCCATACAACATTTCAGAGACGCAACCCCACCTTTCATTATCTGTGTAAAGTTGGTGAGTACAGTTTTTGGCATAAGCTAAATGAACCACATCTGTATCTGCTAGCATCACCCTAATTAAGGATGTGCTTTTGTTTTATTATAAAACACATTTTCCAGTGGTTTATAGAAGTGTTTTTAGTAGGGCTGTCAAGCGATTAAAAAAATTAATTGTGATTAATTGCACTGTTAAAGAATAATAGAATACCATTTATTTAAATATGTTTGGATGTTTTCTACATTTTCAAATATATTGATTTCAATTACCACACAGAATACAAAGTGTACAGTGCTCACTTTATATTATTTTTATTACAAATATTTGCACAATAAAAAACAAAAGAAATACTATTTTTCAGTTCACCTAATACAAGTACTGTAGTGCAATCTCTTTATAGTGAAAATGGAAATTACAAATGTAGAATTATGTACAAAAAATAACTGCACTCAAAAATAAAATAATGTAAAATTTTAGAGCCTGCATGTCCACTCAGTCCTACTTCTTGTTCAGCCAATCACTCAGACAAACAAGTTTGTTTACATTTGCAGGAGATAATGCTGCCCACTTCTTGTTTACAGTTTCACCTGAAAGTGACAACAGGTGTTTGTATGGCACAGTTGTAGCCAGCATCGCAAGATATTTACGTGCCAGATGCTCTAAAGATTCGTATGTCCCCTCAAGCTTCAACCACCCTTCCAGATGACATGCGTCCATGCTGATGAGGTGTTCTGCTCGATAACAATGCAGAGCAGTGCGGACCGACGCATGTTCATTTTCATCATCTGAGTCAGATGTCACCAGCAGAAGGCTGATTTTCTTTTTTGGTGGTTTGGGTTCTGTAGTTTCCGCATTGGAGTGTTGCTCTTTTAAGACTTCTGAAAGCATTTTCCACACCTCGTCCCTCTGAGTGTTTGGAAGGCACTTCAGATTCTTAAATCTTGGGTCGAGTGCTGTAGCTATTTTTAGAAATCTCACATTGGTAGCTTCTTTGTGTTTTGTCAAATCTGAAGTGAAAGTGTTCTTAAAACGAACAACGTGTTGGGTCATCATCCGAGACTGCTATAACGTGAAATATATGGCAAAATGCAGGTAAAACAGAACAGGAGACATATAATTCTCCCCCAAGGAGTTCAGTCACAAATTTAATTAGTGCATTTTTTTAAACGAGCGTCATCAGCATGGAAGCTGGAATGGTGGCGGAAGCACGAAGGGGCATATGAATGTTTAGCTTATCTGGCACGTAAATTCCTTGCAATGCTGGCTACAAAAGTGCCATGTAAATTCCTGTTCTCATTTTCAGGTGACATTGTAAATAAGAAGCAGGCAGCATTATGTCCCGTAAATGTAAACTAACTTGTTTGTCTTAGCGATTGGCTGAACAAGAAATAGGATTGAGTGGGCTTGTAGGCTCTAAAATTTTACATTGTTTTGTTTTTTTGAGTGCAGTTATGTAACAAAAAAAATCTACATTTGTAAGTTACACTTTCATGATAAAGATATTGCATTATGGTACTTGTATGAGGTCAATTGAAAAACACTATTTGTTTATCATTTTTACAGTGCAAATATTTGTAATAAAAAATAATAGAAAGTGAGCACTGTACACTTTGTATTCTGTGTTGTAATTGAAATCAATATATTTGAAAATAGCATCCAAAAATATTTAATAAATTTCAATTGGTATTCTATTGTTTAACAGTGTGATTAATCGCAATTAATTTTTTTTATTGCAATTAATTTTTTGAGTTAATCGCGTGAGTTAATTGCGATTAATCGACAGTCCTAGTTTTTAGTCAAAACTCATCCTAAGATGTAGAGGCCAATTTTGTGAAATTGTTTTTAGAGATTATTGCAGGGAGGGAATGGAAATGTTGGAGTAATATTAAGAGTAATAAAAGCAAGGATATCTTTAAAGGGTCCTTAATCTGTTCTCCCTTTTTGACATACCATTTTGTGGGCACAAATGTCCTTGCATGTTGCAGACATGGTTGGTCACTTGCCCTTGTTTGTACCCAAAATATTGCAAACATAACTGTGTTCAGGCACAGAAACTGTGGGTGCAGAAACAGAGACTTTGTTTTATAAACCAGGCCCTTAAGTCATTGTGTGCAACATGCCCATCCTTAAGCCTCTTCTGCGTCTGAGTACTGCTGAGAGTCAAAGACTGCAACTGCTTTCTCTTTCACTCATTCGGTTGACTCCTGAATTACTAAAAGATGAGCAGCAGATATTCTGCTATTACATTAAAATAACAACATAGCACAACACAAATAAGGAACAACACAAAAGCATCAGATCAGATGCTGAAAGGCATGATAGCAAATACCCTCTCACTGTGAATACTAAAAGTTACTGAAATTTGCAACTAACGCTCATATTTAAAAACCATATTGGCAGGTTTCCTTCATATAAACAAAGACATTTAAAACCTATTCGGTTTTTATGATTGTTTAGCTGAAATTCATCCCCTACAATCCCCTTTGACCTTAGCGCCCCCAAGGTTAGGGTCAGCGCAGAGATCAAAGTACTTCACAGTTGTAAAACCAGACTGCAAGTACCCCAGGGCATTATCATGTAGACAGGTTGGTAATAAGCCTGACATTGGCTAGTAATATTGCAACTAATTTAATTTTTCATATGAAACATAATGATGGATGGAAGACCGAGGACAAAACAGCTGCATAACCCATTATAAAGTACATCTAATTTCTGAAGCCCTGACAAGGAAGCTATTATACAATATCTTGTCTGCTCTGAAAACTCTGGTCCATGATTTCAACTGTAATTTTACAGTACTTTTCTCTATCAGTGACTGTATTCTGTGTGCAGACTACGTTATACTGCATAGCACCTTTAAAGACAATGTTTTTGGAGCCACAATTTGGTCTACTTAGATGGAATCTTTGTGGAATGGCCCCTGGAATCTCAATATCTTTTAATCACCTTTCTGTTGCTGTGAAATTAAGAATGAAAATAGTCACAATATTGGTGTCAAATACCCAGAGACCATGGCCAAGTAACATCATCATTTACACTTTTGCACCCTACTGTCTGAGGTGTCCTGTTGGCTGATGGTAACACTGATGTTACTGGAGCTGAGATCATAAATTCTGCTAGTGAGGCAGCATA